GTAGTTGGCTGACTCCCTATAATTCAGTAAAACAATATATTGCTGGAGAAGGTATGGATAAAAAATTATACGTGGGCGGGAGATATTAAAATGTTAACAATGGCTGATTTACTGAATGTTCACATATTCTGCTATAATGAGTCGGGGAATGAATGGGTACGTTATTCACCACTTACACGTAATGCTGATCCTAATGCACCAGCAATATACTTAACCCTTATTAACTTGAACCATCATCGTGTAGTTACATTAATAGCAGATAAAAAAACTGCTAATACTAATAACAGTGGTGATAAAAATCCATGTGATGATGCCAAAAAATAAAAAATAAAAAGAGCAAAAAGAATGATAATTAGTGAGACAGAATAATATTCATGGTCGTAGCTTATAACAAATAATAATACGAGACAGTGTCATGATGGCCCTAGCTTGAATTGAATTATTAATGACACAGTGTTGTATTGGCCATAACTTTAAAAGAAACAGTGTTGTATTGGCTATAGCTTAAAATATTTAAAGAGCAGTGTCATATTGGCCTAGCTTTTAATGAATATTAATGAGACAGTGTCATATTGGCCGTACTTAATCATAATGAGACAGTGTCGTCATGTTGGCTGCAGCTTATAATGAATGATATATATGAGACACCGTGATATTGGCCATAAAAATTAATGATACTACATGAATAATGAACTAGACACTGTCATATTGGCCAATCTAAAAGAATAACATAAAATGTGATTGTTGAGAAACTGTCAAAGATTTAATCTAAAGACGCTGTTTATATTGACACTGCTAAATGGCCATCTGTTTCCCCTTCGAATCCAGCTTGACCTCATCATGGTGAAGGGGTGACAACAGATAGGACACATTGCCTTTACTTGCTAACAAAGCTGGCTTTATGTATATTGCATAGTTATATATATATATAATAATATTATAAAAAATTAGCATAAATAAGCTATTACAAAAAATTAAAAAAAGATTGAGTAGGATTCAGTGTGTCAATGTGTCAAAAAAGTAATGGAAAAAAGGACAAGTAGGATTCCATACAACCGATTATTCCAAACAACCGATTATTCCGAACAACAGATTATTCCGGACTGACTATGCCCATACAAACGAAAATACGAAATGATAATCCTACTCTCGTGTCGGAATTTCTACTCTACATTATAAGGTGATATACATTTTCTTACATAATTACATTAAAAATACAATGTAGAGTCGATTTTGCATCACGAGAGTAGGATTTTCATTTCGTATTTTTGTTTGTATGGGTATAGTCAGTCGTTGGAAATAATGTCGTTCAGAATAATCGGTTGTTTGGAATCCTACTTGTCCTTGTTTCCATTACGTTTTTGACAAATAGACACACTGATTCCTACTCAATCTTTTTTTATAATTTTTGTTATGCAAATGAGAGCTGCTGGGCAAATGCGTGGTAGCAGTCAAGTATGGTTCCCAATGTGTTGAGTCCTATATATATGTTGTAACCAGCCAGGCCTCTCGTTACTAGGACGGGATATTTTACAACACATTCGATTAGATTGGCCCTGGATAGCTCACAAAAGAGTAACGACCCTCTGTCATAGGCTTTTGAAAGAATTCCCTTAAGTTTTCACTGCTCAGTTGGGTATCTTCAAGCATTATCACGCCACACTTCATCTGAGGGAACCTCACCACAATATCATAGGCCGAGGACTAATCCTTTCGCCTTGAAGGACAGTGTACAAAAGGAAATACAAAGGCTAGTGAGGGAAAGAATTCTAGAGCCTGTGAACTCCAGTAAATGGCAGCGCTAATTGTGGTGGTAACAAAGAAGGATGGTCGGTTACGTATCTGTGGTGACTATAAGGTAACCGTAAACCCTTCCCTGACAATTGATACTCATCCTCTTCCTGAACTCAGGAGTTGTTTGCCTCTCTTGCTTTGGGGAAGCTGTTCACTAAATTGAATCTATCTCCAGCATACCAGCAGATGAGGCTGGATGATTCTTTCAAGGAGTTACTCACAATTAACACACATAAGAGACTGTTCAGGAACACAAGGCTACCTTTTGGTGTGGCATCAGCCGCAGCCATTTTTCAAAGGACCATGGACAATATCATTCAAGGTAAAACTAGGGTACATTGTTACATTGATGAGATTTTGATATCAGGAGTTAGCAATCAAGAACACATACAAAACCTCAGGACAGTTCTCCAACGGGTGCGGGATAATGGCATTAGCCTAAAGGTCAGCAAGTGCCAGTTTCGCCTAGATTCTGTGGAATATCTAGGCAAGTAGTGGACATAAAAGGATTGCATACCACTCCTAGTAAGCTCACAGATATAAGGAAAGCTCCTACTTCCAAAAATATCCGTTATTTAAGATGCTTTCTGGGTTTTATCAACTACTATGGGTGGTTACTGCCTAATTTGTCTAAGGTTTGATTCCCTTTGAACCGGTTATTGAGACACAATGATAAATGGATTTGGTCTAAGCAGTGTGATGCAGCCTTTACTGATTGTCTGCCAAAGTATTAATGCATTATAACCCTCAGAAGGAGATTACTTTTCCTACCGATGCCTTTGGCTATGGGTTAGGTACTGTGCTGTCACACACCAATCCTTTGGGTGATAAGCCCATAGCATTTGCATCAGAACCTTATCCTAGGCAGAATGTAACTACTCCCAAATAGAAAAAGAGGCCTCGTCCAGGGCGTTTGGTGTTAAGAAGTTTCACTAGTACCTATATGAAAGAAACTTTACTCTATTAACAGATCACCAACCACTGGTGACTATATTTGGGCCTAAGACAGGTGTCCCTGCCCTTGCTGCAGCAAGGTTGCAGAGATGGGCCATTACATTGTCAGCTTCTTCTTTCCATATAGGATATAGAAGAACTGATGATTGTGGTAATGCTGATGGCCTGTCAAGACAGCCCTTGCCCATTTCCCCTCCCTCAAAGCCTGATGTGGTTTCTAAGTTCCACATTGTTCACATGTCAAGTCTAACACTAACTTACATTCAGCTCAGGTCAGCATCTAGGGCATACCCTGTGGTTAGTAAGATTCATGACCTATATCTTACAAGGCTGGCCTCTGTTTGTAAAGGATGAACTAAAGGTCAACTGGAGGAGGAGAATGGAACTGACTGTTAAAGCTGACGGTTTGATGTGAGGATTAAGGGTAGTCGTTCCAGAGAAATGCAGGAAGATATTAGAGGAATTACATGAAGGGCACCCTGAAGTGGTGAGGATGACATCTCAGGCCTGAAGTCATGTGTGGTGGCCTGGCATAGAGTATGACATTGAGAAAGTTGAAAGCTTGCCGTCCATGTAACCCAATTAAGTCTGATCCGTCCCCAGTACCATTGCATCTATTAGTTTGGCCCTCTTGGCCTTGGTATAGATTGCATGTAG